GTTTCTCCATTTATGTCTGATATCTGTATGTCCAGTGTTCTAATTATAAAACTTTTGCAGACAAACCTCCTACGATGAATTTGCTCCAAATCGACAAACTGAAATCGACCCAAGTATCCAGAATCAAATCAAGCAATTTTGATACCAAGCGGACAATCCTATGCGGTTTCTCTTTTTTGTCTGTCTGTAATGGACAACTTAATACATGAGAACTTGAAAGTGCATTTTAGACGTTTACCTTAGATTTTGGTGGTACTGTTAAACAGCATAAGTACGCATTTCCTCTTCTTGCCTCACGTTGCCCTCCAAGTGTTAGAACAGCAGAGAAAAAGAAGATTTGATAGAGATAATCATAGATAACAGCGACTGAGATGAATACGCAAAACGTCTAAACTAGTAAGGAGTGCTTGGAAAATGAAATGATCAATTCAGAAAAAAGTTAAACTCACATAAATGGCTGGCGTATTCGTAGAAATTCCAATACCAAATGAAAGTAGATTAGTAAGAGATGTAATTGAGATAGAGGGACCTGCATCGGCAAGTGTTTCAGCTATTCGCTCCCTGACAGAGAGCCTACAACGGAAATAAACTTTTGAAATTTTAGGTTAAAAAGTGGGTGAAAATTTAAAAAGTGCGAGTGGTTTACCTGTCGTTGGTTAGGTGAAACGCATGGATAAAAATGAAAACGTCGTCTACGCCTATAGCGAGTATTAAGAATGGCACAACAGTAACAATCGGCAAGAATTCAAAGCCGAGCTGAATCAATCTTCACTATAGACTTTGAATGAATAGAATCTATATAATGCTATACATAACAGCATGGAATTAAATAATATAGAATTGTGTTCAGAAAATACCCAGAATAAGTTTCCAAATGAAGCGACCAGTGAAAGAATTGGACAAATAACTCCAAGGAATGCCTCCAGCGGGTTGCTTTTCACCGGATCTTTTCTAAGCGTTGTCGCAATTGTGAAGACCATTAAGATCAGAAACGTCACTCCCATCAATGGCATAGCCAATAATCCTGCATTAATCATTTAGTCAACTTTGAAAAAATCATGTACACCTTTTTTTTTCAGAGCGATAACTTAATTTTCTTTCTGAACGGTTTTAAGACGGTAAACGAGATCTAGTGAGGTTGCCAATAAAGTGAGAAACAATAAGTTTGTTGTTCTGGTTCGGAATATGTACTGCGACCGTTTCTTAGAAGATTACCTAAGTGCGGAGTCTAGGATTACGAGTTTTAGGAGCTGCTCTTTGCATCAAATCAATTTTTTAGAGTTTCGAAACCATCAGCTTACAATAATTCTACAGCAACGCGAGGTGGTGTGAAATTGCAGTGCAGGTGAAGGAAAATGTGAATAAAATAACGTGGTTAGGTACATACCTCTTCAAACTACAAAATTGCGAGCAATGATTAACATTGTAAGAAAAACATTTCCGGAACACCCTGCTGTGCCCTTCACAAGCTTTTGTTCTCACCTATGAAATGCAAAACTTTACGCATTTTTTTCTAAGCCCTTTATCAAATCTTTGGATTTAAAAAAATGGTAATGGTGACAGTCCCAGCCGATGATATCAGCAGACGCTTCTTTGGTGTACGTCT